GTCATTTAATTTAATTATTTTGCATTAATAAAAACTTGTATAAAAGAGGATTGCTGCCCAAATACACATGACCCCGCAGCCAACAAGGAAAGTACATAATTTATGTCCAGAATTTTAAAACAAAAAAAACAAAAAAAACAAAAACTTAGCCACTATACTTTGTCAGTGGTTTTTATTGAAATTTTATCTATCTATCTATCTATTTATTTATCTATCTATCTATCTATCTATCTATCTCTTTTTATAAATATAGGACGTATTTAGACATTTATTTTGCAAGTTTTGAAAAAGATATTGAAATAATTTTTTTCCTTAAATATGTACCGTAAACTAGTAAAATTGCCTTAAATATAGAAAAATAAATATAAATTCCAATTTCTTTTCAATTTCGTTGGTCTTCAACAATTTTTTTATAAAAATGCAAACACGTATACAGATGTCTGTCTGTCTGTGTGTGTGTGTGTGTGTGTGTGTGCGTGTGTGTTTGTGCTTATGTGTTTGTACATTTATTTTTATGTTTATCATATATAATTAGAGTTTTCCTCTCACCCTTTTTCCCTCTACCTCTTCCGTAAGTACCATGTTTTCTAATCCCTCCGTCCTGATTACTTTCCCCAGAAACCTCAACTCCTTCTTCCTGGTGTTAAGTATATGTTCATATTTTCTCTCAAAAACCTCGTTGTTGCTCACATGTTCGGTCCATGGTAACGTCAGCATCATTTCTTAGAACCATATTTTCAAATTTCTTCTGAATCTTTGATGAGAGTGTGGCGACGTACAGGAGGACAGCTATCAGGTAACAGTTACAATACTCACTGGGTGATTTTAGAGAAAGAAAATTCTTTTTATACGAAATCTCTTCGTCTAGATAATTGTTTTTTTCTCTATGTTGATATATATATATATATATATATATATATATATATATATATATATATATATATATATGTGTGTGTGTGTGTGTGTGTGTGTGTGTGTGAAAATATATAGAAAATAGGAAGGAACTGGTTAGGTAAAAAAAATTTCGCTTGAAGATGGAACAGAGCTTATTTTAACTCAATTTAATTTAAATAATTTAAATAATTATATTGAAGTTTTCGGCTCTTGTTTTGAAACATGGGACTTCTTATGTTGCGATTTGGAATCATATTTTAAATAAATAAGTATATATATATATATATATATATATATATATATATATATATATACGTTATTATTTTAGGAATTAGCCTATTTCATTGTATATCTTCATTGTTTACGTTAAGATGCGTTTCGTGAGGAGATATGAGCGATCCAGTAAAATTGTTGGAGATTGTGTGTTTAAAGACATTGATTTGAAATTTTCTAGCAAGACGCTTCTCTATAGCTAAGTGGTATATCATGTCAGATCAAATGGCAGTTTCTTATAGGAGAAGGTTTCAATTTCTGTTGTAGAACGCATATTTTCGACGAAATTTCACGAATATTCCGGCCGGCAAATGTAATTAGCAATATTTAATTAAAAAAAGAAGACCCTGATAGAAGACACAGAGCGGAAAATTCTAAAATTGTTGAGGGTTCTCCCCTTTTACACAAATGGATTCGCCCTGTATGTACATATACTACTGCTACGTGAAGACCCGAGAGACGAGAGTAAGACGAGAGCCACAGAGGGTGAAGGTAACAGACAGACGGAACGAACGTAGCGAGCACTAGTCACCCTGAGCGAGCACGTAGACTCAGTAAGAAGTCATACAGCGATACTTCAATACCAAAGACTGTATAGATATTTTACTACTAACCCGTATTCTTGGAACTACTAACCTGCATTACCAGTTTGTATTATTACGTTAATACATTATCTTCCTATATTCATTCTTGGCGTTTGTCATTTATTGGTACCGGATTTCATCCCGGAATCCACAACAAAAACACCGACCGAAGTTAGTTAAGGTTAGCGAGAAAGAAGAACTGAACATCAATTTCAAGAAGACAACTTTCATAGTTTTTAGCATAAGGAATAACCTAATATGTAAATTCAAAATTGGAGATATGAAAATCTAACAAACGCTACAATTCAAATATCTGGGCAGTGTTTTAACAGAGGAATGAAAGTGTGACTCTGAAATCCGAAGGCACATTGGAATAGTGAAGGATGTCTGCATAAAGATAAGCAAATAATTAGGAACGAAAAATAGTTCCGTTAGAAACAAAGAAAAAACATGGAACCTGTTATGTAATATTAGTCTACCCATATGGCATTGAATGCTGGACCATCTCTTCAAAGCTAATGAAATTTGACGGAAAAGAAATGTGGGTCTACAGAAAGATGCTGAGAATACCATGAACCAAACATGTGAGTAACGACAAAGTTTTAGAGAAAATAGAAAAAAGGGACCGGTATATTTAACATCAGGAAGTGAGTATAGAAATATCTAGGCCGCATTATGAGGAAAGGGTGTTTGGAAAATTTGACACAGACATGACAGATTGAAGTCAAGACAGACAGATGAAGATAACC